TGAACAAATATTTGATGTATAGTTTAGTATGATGACATATGCCTACCACTGACATCATTTTTAGAGTAATCTAGATCAATCTGCTAAGTAATACATATTATTTACCTTTTACAGGGGGATTTAATAAGAAATATAGGCTGATTAAGTTTAAAGGACTGTACACATTATCGTCACTTTAAAAGTAATTAGCATGAAGATTCATTCTCCTTAGACGACCCTACAAAAGTGGGGCCATAACAACCAGACCAGAAATATACTAAATGATCATCATCCCCACCCCCATGAGTCAGTGGCTCACAACCCCAACTGAATTTTAAAATATGTATAATATAGAAAAACAACACAAACAGTTATATTGCCTAATCTTTCTATAGATGAGAGAAACATAAGCAAAGTTAAAAGTGGCTATAATTCTAGGTGAATCTGTATTCTAGAGTAAAATAATGATTTATGAATGCAAACATATCTGACCTAAAGCTCTGATGCTATTACAAAACAACATACATGAGATTTCATACTCGGTTTCTTTATTACTTTCATAATTTCAATTTTTTGTATAACAATCAAAATGGCATTCAGTTTCACTTGTATTATTCCAAAATTATGTACAAAAATATTTTTCTTGAGAATGCTCACTTCAAAATCCAACTGAATTGCGTTACGTCTTAAATGTAGATTTTAACACAGAAGTAACGCGTGGCTGCAGGCGTAAATTTTATGTTTTTGGCTGTCCAGATTGCAACAGAAGAACGTGAAGAGAAGAAACATCAGGTTGACAAGCTGAAAGATGCCAGTGCAATGATGCCTATGATATCATCAATGTATAAACAGTGTGTCAATAATTAATAGAACAAAATATAATAAAGTGTTGCATAAATTATACACATAAGCCAAAAACACGGCATATCACACAATTTTTAAATGACACAGTTAAATGTAGAAGTGTAAAACTGATCCCCGACGAGGATGGGATTCGAACCCACGCGTGCAGAGCACAATGGATTAGCAGTCCATCGCCTTAACCACTCGGCCACCTCGTCGATAGCAACATTTTCTTTATATACTACTTTAATAGAACGCACTGATATTCAATCAGCCTGTCGGAGGACAATTTTCTCTGCTTAACAGCCATTACCTTCCTAATTTACTAACAAGCTACACATCACCACATGTTTAAAAAAAAATGGCCGTGCTAATACGTAACGTTGTGTGGAGCGGTGAACGTTTTGACCAGCGGTCACAATAACACATTGCACGTCTAACTCTGTGTAGCTACCAAGTGTTAGACATAGATTTTTTACGTAACTGGATCCAATGGCTAAATGAAACATAATTCAGTATGTGTTCGGTACGCTGGCAATTCCTTTAGTTGTGAAATAGGGTATATTCTGTAGTTTTAAAATTCACAAGAATTGGCCTCCAACAGTAAGCAGTTCATATACTCTTTGCAGAAGCTAACCTTGGCGATGGCATCTTATTCCTCTGTTTTAGGGCGGGTCGCAAACCAGCGTATTTAGGTGCATACCGCCACCTACTGCACCGGAGTGTGTCAATCAGGGTTTTATGTACGCCATACTATAAACACACTACCTTTAACTATGTCCTCAATAATAAACATATCATTGAATTTATACATTTTCACCAAAAACTGAAACATTTTGAGATTCATAAACAGAAGTGTTGCACTGAATTGCGTACAAATGTACACGTGTACTTAATAAAGTCGCCAGTGACTGTATATAGTTGCTCCCTACGGAAATGCCACATCAAGACAATTACAGACAGCCACTTTAGCACAAAAAGACTTATGCCACTCCTGCAGAACACAAATGCTTCATGAGCTCATCTTGAGTGTACACACTATACGGCACAATAAGGCAGCCATTCCCGCGGCAGGTACTTACCATTTCGAAATCTTCTTTATCACTTCTACTTGTGTAGATTTTTTTCCCGAGGCTTTGGAAATCAGCATCCTTGTTCTAGCATAACATTTGCCACTGGCGAACCCAGTATTCACAGGTGGCTTGAAACAAATGCCAAAAAAGACACAAAAGATCCCTTAATATTATATGTCTTTTCTTTATCTTTCTCTCACATGCATACACAAGTTGTTCTGAAGTCACCATAACAAATAAAACATTTGTGTTTTGCATTAACTGGGTGTCTGATGTAGTGCAGTTGCACAAGAACAGCTGGTAGGGTGAGTCATGTTCCCATCTCATGTTCCCATTAGCTTACAGCTGAATAAATATAGCCTATTTCAATTAATGTAACAAACAGTAGGATTCCAGCCCTTTGCCATTTATTAAAGAACTCCAAGTCTGTTAAACTAATGAATGAGTGAACTTTTCTTCACTCCAAAAGCTCCATTAATGATGGCTTTTCATAGTCATCATACACAAGCTTCACTCTGAGTTAAGTGAACTCAGGCAGTGGAAAAATGGCTTTAATGATGTCTAAACAAACTGGAGATCACTGGGAACACTGGAAAGGATTTCAAATCAATCTGAGCACAATAATTCTTGAATGTTTTTATTTCTTTAGTAAGTACGGCTGCACAAGAATTAGTTTTAATAGTATTAAGACATACTGTATGTTTTTCTTTGTATGCATACATGAAGCCACAAAAAGGAAAGCAGAACTGAATTTAGAAAAACTTAATGTTACTGTTTTAGTGTGTACTGTACAAGGCAGGATCAGACATCAGACTGTAACATAACTGATCTAGTTAGCTTTTTTAAACTTGATACTTATTGTAAATGTGTATTACTTATCAGAAAATTAAAGTAAACATAATAACATCTATAATGTAATCTAATGTGCATATAAGATTAATTTATGATATACATTAAAATATTTAATATACCATTCAAAAAAATAATCATTTCTTGTATCCAAGGAGCTTCAAACATCTGTGGGCTGCTTTGGAAATCCAATTTTCCCTGTTTTTCATTTGGATATTTTTATTATAAACAACAAATAAGCAAACAACAACAACAAAAACAGGACAGCTTCCATGGTTTCCTGATTGTTTTGAATAAGTCCTGTGAAATGCTTTTCTTTACAGAGCCGATTCCCTTTACCATTAATCTACCAAGATCTAATCAAGCCAAAATCAAAGTCAGAACTTTGGGGGTCCATGTGTGTCCCTGTTACAGTGGATTGCAGGGGGAGACAAGGATAAAACATCCTTAGAAACATTCAAGCCTCCAGCATGTACATCATTTTGAGTCGAATACCACTGTAGCATCTTCTCCACTGGGTGTCAGCATACTGTACATACAACAGCATCACCTGTCCTTTCTGAGGTGACACCTAAACAAAACTTAACTGGTTATAAAAACAATATTTTCATCTCCTCTAAAATAATTCCACACATCTTTTTACTTATCATTTGCTTTACAGTCAATGCAGCCAGCAGTGCCGGAAGGTTTAGGACTGTAAAGTCCCCATTGTGCCAAGGACCCTGCAGCAAAGAGGGATGTGTAACACTACAATCCAACCACCAGGAGGCGGGCATGTGACGAGGAGAACGTGTTTCTCAGGCCTCTTCTTTTCGGCTGTTTAGAGTGTCACAGCCTGTGGTCTGCTGGAGTATGAAGTCTCTTTAGTGACTTACTGAAGATAACAGGAGACAGGAAATGAACAGAGCCAGAGAAAATGATGAGAGATCATGTTGAGTGTTATTGCAGTCACTTTCCACTTGATTTTGTTAGTGCCATGGCTCTAGGGTTGGCAATGTCGCTCTGCTGGTTGATCCACCACTTTTGTCTATACTGAAATATCTCAACAACTATTGGATGTATTCCCATGAAATTTTATACAGGCATTCTTGATCCCTAGAGGATGAAGACCACTGGCTGATGTTTTCTCCCTCAGGCTTTAGTAGAGGCCAAAAATAACTCACTTAATTCAGTGTATTATATATACTGTATATGTAAATTATTTTTACACTATTACTTGAGGTATTGGTAAAATGGTCCACTACAAGGATAGCTAGGTAAGCAAGATCCTCTAGTATTAAGTAAATCAAGTTTAGTTAACTAGCATCTTTAAATATAACTATTAATTTACCACAGTTGTCATAAAAAATTTAGTCACACAGAAAAAGTTACAGAATAAACAGTATAGTGGTTGGTTCACCAAAAGCAATTAGGGGACCACTTTTCATTTCTTATTAATTTCTTATTTCATCTCATCTTTTATAAGTCATGACATTGGTCAGGTCTGAAAAATAACAGAAGTTTCATATCTATAGTCATGTTGCATCCTGTTGCAGTAGAAATAACTGGTGCGAGTTAATTTTCAGTCACAGGCTGAAAAAAGCTGCTGCCTTTTTTGTGCAACCCACAGACGGGTCCATGGGCTTTTTTACCTTTGTTTTTTTTAAATGCATTTTCAAACACAAGCTGCCAGTATCACACACACCACAGATGTTATTTTATGTTTGGATTCTTCTGGTCCCTGGCACCTCCTTGACAATGTCAAGCTGTGATCTGTACCAACATGAAATCTGTCATATCCCATCCCACATAGTGTCCACTGTATCAGATAAAAAAAAATTGTGCGGTCTGAACCAGGCATGATTGTTTCTTTTGAATTTAGGCTATTAATAACTGAGAGTCTGAGCAGATGACAGTTCTCTCAGGTCTCGCTTCTTCAATCAACTGAAATCCTAAAATTAAAATAATTTCTGCTGTACATATAGATAGTTAAATTTAGCATATTCCTATATCAAACTCCTATATACTGCATACATTCTGACTCTTACATGTTCATTCCCTGGATCTTGAGATATATCAGAAAATAAAGGTGTAAAATTGTAATAATTTTCCATTATATGATCTTGTACCAGACATCTAATCTTATCTACTCTCCTATCAGGCCATTCTCTCTTCTGCTCTACAAGTTGTAAATCTGCACTAGGCACTGGAAATATCCATGGACCGCACCCTGTATTTGGCCCCTAATCTATTCCAGCCTTTCCCAAACCTAGGGTTGTGGCCCATTTTGGGTTCTGGACCCATTTGTATTGGGTCGCCATTTGGCAGAGTAAAATGCATAGCAATGCTGTGATATGTGAATTCATTTTCCAAAATAGAAGAAGAGTGCTATTTTTTTTCTACACAGCTATCTTCAGCTCAGATGTTGTGTGCAAGGCTCTCTCTCTCTCTTTCTCTCTCTCCCCTCAACCTCATCTCGGCATGCATCAATGATTGTGAATTTTCCTGTTGGCCGTATATGTGTTTATAGCATGTAAAAGATCTGGCAACACTTGCAGTGTTCCGAGCAACTTTAATGCAAAGATAGAAGACCAACGTGTTTCTTCATAGAGCCTTCATTAAATGTCAATATCTGCAACGAAAGTACAAAACACTGAAGCTGCTTGGTTGTAAATTGATCAAATGAACATATTACAGAACACATCCATTTTTTTTTAAATAATAATTGATCAGCAACCAAGCATTGAAAATAGCGTCTGTTAAACACTGGCAGTAGCCTACCATGTAAATATACTAAAAAGAAGGAGAGAGGATTGAGGAGGACAGAGAAGGAGCCAGCATAGATTTTACATTCTACTGAATCTTACTGTGTGACTGAAGTAAATTAGAGCTCTGTGCATCAGTGCATATGATCAGGTTTGGTTACTCTTCAAATGTTATTTAGTATTGCATCACATGAAATAAAACAAATGGCAATTGTGTTGCATAATAAACCACACAGCTGCCTATGGTAAGGCAATCAGTAAAAATTTTGAAACAAAGTCCTTCAGTTAATATTTATGACTGGCATAAACTTCATCAAGGGGCCAAAAGTCATATCTTGTCAATGAGCATATTTAAACCAAGGCAACATCTACTTTGCAACATTCAGCATCATGATGGAGAGAGTGCTGTTGTTTGGACTAGTGACTCTGGCCACTTCATACACTGTAAGAATTTATTTACTTATTACTTATAGTGAGCATGATGTTGCCATTAACTGCACAATAACTTACACCAGCTTTGCTTTATGCAGATACCACTTTCTCCTGATGTACATGGTATGTAAATAGTTGTCTTTCATGGAAGAAATTAATATTGCTGGAGATGTGAAAACACTTTAAATCATGTGTGTCTGTTTTACAGAGGTGTATGCGAATGGTGAAGATGAAAACCCCATCCTAAACCCTGGTGAACTATATAATATTTTACTGCAAAACTGGGTATTTCTTACCGATGATAACACTGAAATAAAATGTTTCTCTACCTGTGCTGTAGGTTCAGAGGCCAACCTGTTTGAAGGGGATATTTTAGTTCCAGTGAGTTAAATTTTAACAGAAATACTGCTGTTGCTTAATTGTTGTAAATCAATCTTTCATTGTTTTACTGGCATCTTTGCTCAAGAATATCTACAATACAATATCTATTTCAGATAACGAGCTGAGAATTTGATAAGTTGTGCGTTGGTTTTTATTGTGTGCATCTTTTGGTCATAATTTAAGTTCTGTCTAAACAACTACTTTATGCTACAGGAAGGAAGGAATGCCCTAATTGACAAAAGATACAGATGGAAATTTCCAATCCCTTACATTCTGGGTGATGACTTAGGTGAGTCTTTAAAAAAATTTGATTGCTATTTATTGTAATGAACATATGTCCCACAGTTAGAATATAGTAAGTATGTTTTCGACTTCTAACTGATACACTCATCTTAAGCAATTTACAGTGTTGCAATTCTCACTAATGTTCAAGCAAAAATGCATGAATTATAAAGATAGAAACGTAATCTGATATGTTTTGGTTACAGAACTGTGTCACTTTGCTTCGGTGTCCCATACAACACGTTTATGATTGTTTCTCTTACCCCCTTACCCTTAACGTCTTACACCAGATCTGAATGCCAAAGGATGCGTCCACCAGGCTTTTGAAATGTACCGACTGAAATCTTGTGTTGACTTCAAGCCTTATGAAGGAGAAAAGACCTTTATCAAGTTTGAAAAGAGAGGGGGGTATGGTTCCCGTGTGTGTTCTGGCTCTTTTTTTTGTATTTGAAAGATATACAGCCAATATCTCCTATTACTTTTCAGTGTTTGCTGTATTTCTGTAAATTCAAGGTTGCTGTTCAGTAAAATTAGCCCCACAGACATTTGACTTCCATCTCTATTGGCACTGATTTAAATTCCTCCAAGAAATTACAAAAGCCAGAATTGAGAATAATGGCCACAGACCTCAGAGCAAATAACTCTTAAAGTAAGACTATTTAGTTTGCTGCTGAACAGTGGTCACTCCAGCAATAACTGACAGTTTTGGAACAATGCAAAATTATCCCATAACATTATCTAAAGTTTGCTAAGAGTAGCTAATATTAACCATAATAAGCTACTGGTCATAACAAACCAAGTAATGCTGTAGCAGCAAAAACCCTGAGCATACTGCACTAAGCAACACTGTCTTTTATGGTTAATTAATTAAATATTTCATTTGTAAGAGTAATAAAATATGAAGATACTGTAAATTTATATCTTATGATTCCTCACAGCACATGGAAGTACAGTAGTAATTCACTGGAGTGTCTCTTCATTTTTCTTTGCATTTCATTTGATTTGTCATAGGTGTTTCTCCAGCGTTGGAGACCAGCAAAGTGGTCAGATTCTGTCTTTGGGGCCAGGCTGTGACCACAAGGCAGTGATTGAGCATGAGCTCCTCCATGCTCTGGGTTTTTACCATGAACAGTCCCGCACAGACAGGGATGACTATGTTGACATCTGGCTAGATCAGGTTACACCAGGTATGTCTAGAATAAAACTATAAAATGTGTTATTCAGTTCATCATTGAGAACCATAAATGAAAACCTATAGCACATGTTCAGTCCTTATTAGACCATTTTATGTAGTCTGAGTAATTAAGAGTATGAAACTTCCTGCAGGTCTTGAACACAACTTCAACAAATACAATGATGACTATATAACTGATCAAAACACGGCGTACGACTACGAGTCTGTCATGCATTACAGACCATTCTCCTTCAATAAGAATGAGTCCATCCCCACCGTCACCACCAAAATCCCAGAGTTCTACAACATCATTGGTCAGTACCTCGACTTCAGCCAGATGGACACCTTCAGGCTCAACCGGATGTACAACTGCTGTATGTATATGTTGACCAAGAGAATTTCCTATGTTAATGTTTTGACCAGTTTTTCTACTCTCCTATTTCTTAAAAGTTGACAATGTAGACCAGCATGTTTAAATAATTCTTCCCGTCCTCCACTCCCAGCTGGCCCTCTGACCCTGCTGGACCAGTGTGACTTTGAGCACGCCAGCATCTGTGGGATGATCCAGGCCTCCTCTGACAATGCTAACTGGGTCCATACCAAGAGCACAGCTGGTGCAGAGGATCACACACTACTGGGAAAATGCAGAGGTAAGAGTTAAATAATGTTTCTTTTAAAATCCCAATTACAGTTCATTGTTAAGTTCAGACAACATGATAAAGGGGGCAAAAGTGAAGTTGGGTGCTGTAACAGCTTGTCTTATTTTGTCTGATTTCCTAGATGCTGGGTATTCCATGCACTTCAGCTCAATGGCTGGAAATGCTCAGGACTCTGCGCTACTGGAATCCCGAACTCTCTACCCCAAAAGGAAGCTCCAGTGTCTGCAGTTCTTCTATAAGATGACTGGAAGCCCCAAGGACAGGCTCGTGATCTGGGTTAAGATGGATGATGGCACAGGCATTGTTCGAAAAATGCAGAGAATACAGACCTTTTATGGTATTTATTAAGAGACATGTTTATGGACAATGCATATGTCACAGTAGCATCTTGGAAGTTTACCAGAAATGTCTGTCTTTGCCTATATGAAAAATGTTAAGTTCAATGTTTGGTTAGCTGCGCAGTAGTCTATAAATGGTTCTATCTATATAGTTTCTAACTTCATTACACTCAGTCATCCACTGAAAGGTTTGGAACAATGAAGTAAAGCTCCTGCTTGCTACAGTATCATTATTTTAAAGCAATAGTTTATTATAACAAGATTATTATAACAAGATCAGTAACAGTCTCATTTCTATATGCTAAATATGAAGCGACAGCTACAGGTGATTAAGGTAACTGTCATCTCTGCTTCCAGGCTTTATGCTCAGCTAAGCTAAGCTTCAAATTTTACATTTGCAAGCAAAAATTTGATTTTAGCACGAGTTACTTACTGCTACAATTTTTTTGTCAGAATCAGATATTTCCTGGAGTTATCTTGCAACTTTACCTGTCCAACTTTGCACGTGCTAGCTTTCCCCTCAGCCTGTTAAGCTAATCACAAGCTGACTCTAGATTTAGCCTTAACATGGGAGTGATATCAATCTTCTAATCTAACATTTGACAGCTCTTTGCATCTACTTCTTTATTGTTATTACTGTAACATGAAGGCAAAGCAAAATCTCACCATCTCACATTCCACTACTTTAGAAATGAATAATACTGCAACAAGTAATGAGGTTTGTCATTTTATCCGTTATCCAGCGGACTCTGACCACACATGGAAAATTGCCCATGTCCCAATGGAGGTAGGGGTGAAATTTCGCTATGCTTTCCAAGCTGAGCGTGGTGACCCCTCTGCATCTTCTGGTGGCATCTACATCGACGACATCAGCCTCACTGAGACACGCTGCCCCCACAATGTCTGGAGGATCCAGAACTTCTCCAAGATCATGGAAACGGCTGACATCAACACAGTTATCGACAGTCCTCGTTTCTACAGCCCTGAAGGTTACGGTTATGGTATCCGCATCATGCCTTTGTCAGATTACACTGATTACACAGGGAAGTACGCTGGGCTGTACTTCCACTTGGCGAGTGGGGAGAATGATGTAGTGATGCAGTGGCCAGCAATAAACAGACAGGCCACCTTAGTGGTGATGGACCAAGACCCAGACATTAAACTGAGGATGTCTTCTGCCCGCAGCCTCACTACTGATAAGAGGATAAGTAAGTGCTTCTTCTCTGCTATCCACACAGGCATTGAAACAAGAGCTGGGCACTTGCATGACATTGTACATACAAATTCAGCAGCTTGCCAGCACCGTTTACAGTACATCGACTGCATGTGTGGGGTGTGCCTATGTGCGGATGTGTTCAGCTCTGCCCTCCAGCCTGCTCCTCTTTTTCTTCTTGTCAATGTATGTTTATGAAGCTGATCCATAAAACCCCTGCGCAAATGAGGAATTTCATTGAAATTGAAAACTTTTCAGCTTGCATCAGTGACTCTCTGTCTCATATCACACTGGGTGAATTTGTGTATAATACTGCACGCTTGTGTCTTTCCAAAGACTTTGTATGCAGTCATGCTATTTGAACACAACTTTAAGAGGCATAACTATAATGCTCTAAGGCTGAATGTCAGTGGTTCTCGACCTATTTTGAGTGATATTTTAGTATGAAACAAAATGGTGGACTGACTGATCAGCATCCTCCACCTCAAAACACTTGGCCATCACACATGCAGGCTTTCAGAAACATGAACTCACAGTCAGTTCTTCAGTGAGTACATGTTTCAAATAGTTGGATGACTCCTCACATCGTGGTTCTGTCTTTTTGTTTCCTTTAGCATCAGATGGAAAGTTATTCTGGGACAATCCCTCCAAAGTGGGCAAGTATGACCCTTCCTGTGATTGCTACAGAAGTGGATCATGGGGCTGGAGGAACTTTATCAAGCACTTTGACCTCAGGCGGCGTAATTACCTCAAGAATGATGACCTCATTATCTTCAGCGATTTTGAGGGTTAGTGATCTGTGTTCAGTATTTGTGAAATGAATGTACTGTATTTTGTGAAAATGCTTCAATTCTGAAGTGTGCCAGGAAAGAGCTGACTTTACAGTAATCATTTCTTTGTCCACAGATATAACATCTCTGATCAAAACAGAGGTTAAGCCAATTGAGACAAAGGAGTAAGGTCATGCATTCCTAATGAAGGTGAGACATTATATGCTTTTTTGCATCACCTGCAAAGATTACATGACACTTGTATGTTCTCATAATCATGGAAAGCTTTTTTTGTTTTTTTCATTTTTAATAATCACATGCAACATACAGTATGCAGCTGGGATAAGAAGAAGAAAAACCTGTGAAGATCAAGAAAGAGTGGACAACTTCAGTTATATATTTGTTATATAATCTGCATGTAAAAGTTATATGCATAACAAGCATTTCAAGTTTGTCATCATTTTGAACAAGTTCTTTCCCATTGCACATTTCATCTTAATTAAAGCTGTTAAAGAACAAATTGTTGGTAAGTTTCTTTTGGATTGCATTTGGTGCATTTATGAAAATATGAATGACCATTTGAGTTTATAAAATCAGCAGAATATACACTTGAAGTTTTAGTTTGGTAACCTTGTATTTCCATTATGCAAGAGTTACTATAATACAACACTGATCAGTCCTTTTAAAAAGATCCATTTTACCCTTAACTGACTGTTATGGAAATCTCATGATTCCATTTGATTTGAATTCTTGGTGTCCTGATTTGTTTCAGACTTTATTCTCTGCTCAAAATCAGTTCTCAAACAGAAAAGAGGGCACTATTTTCTGTCCATTTGTGTACTGTGTGTCAATTTATGAATTTGGTCTTCTCAATTACAAGATGAAGCATAAATACTGCTTCAGCTAAATAAAGGTCTCTGTCTGACTGAACAGAAAAAAACAGAGAAGACTTTGTGAAATAATACGTCTCCTGCTTGAATGACAAGAATCCTGCTCCTAATGGTTTCTGCAGAATTAGATAGCATTTGATAATACAGTATTTTCTGTAGCACTGGGGAAACAATTACTCTCAACAATTCTGTCTGAATGCAAAAAGGGTTTTGAATTATTTTTGAAATTTTAAAGCTTATCATCAAGTGATCAAATCATAAATGCACCTATACACTTGCCATAGTTGAAGATAAACTGTAGATAACTCTAATATGCTGCACTGTGCCACCTTATTTATTGCAAAAACATATTATTAACACTGTAAAAATCAAATTTTAGAATCTGTGAACTGAATCAGACTCATAAAACACCCAAATCTTGATTCATACTGTAGATAAATTGATTTCCCTCATCCTTCTTAATGAGAGGGTTCACACATTTTACAAATTAGGTTCAGTAGTGCCTGAGTACTACTCAGTACTACCTTTGTAAACACAGCCTGTGGCTCTGGAGGAGCATGTCAGGTCAGAGAAAACAAAACTAATGATGTCATCAGGGTTATCTCAGTCTGGGCTTGGAGTCTAATCCACACATTTTTACCAGAAATTCATCAAGTCCTAAATGGCCATATGCAGTAGGTTGTACTCTCAGATACAACCCATAAGTGCTTTCTTGAATAAATGCCTGTATGGTGGCAGGAGATATTCCACAGATACACTGCTAAAAACATGATTGAAAAATAAACAACTAACCCTTAAGGATATGGTCATGGTTTGGGTTTAAATAAGCTTAACTTTATTAATCTTAGAGAATCTTTGTTATTATGACTTTTGGAGCTTGACCCTCACTAGGACCTAAAAGTCTGCTGCTTTATTGTCTTTGCTCTTTTAAACCTTAGCCAGCTGTACTGACATTTGATATCTATCAGTGTAGTACTAGTGTTTCAAGAAATGAATAAATAAATAAATAAATAAATAAATAAAGATAAAGGCAGTGCAGTTTAGAACCTTATCATCAGGTATCAGAGGTGTCTTGGCACAACAGGTCTAACAGTCAGCACTTTATAACCTGTTCTGTGTTTTACTCTTTGCCTATATCTTCAATCATAATTCAAGAACTGTAGCACAAGCCTTGAACTCATCACCACTCTGGTAAATCTCACATCCCTACACAGGAATTGAATTAACTACAAGCAGTTTCTTTACTTAAGGCAGGGAGAATATGGTTTTGACACAAGCAGCCCTCTCCTGGTTTATGATTACATGACTCGGTAAAGTTCAAACCACAGACGTCAGAGAAAACCCAATCTCAAAGAAGCCCAAAATCAACATAATTATCAATTTTACTACATTTTAGATCAGCTCATGTCAGTCTGTTCTTGATTCTGGTACATCTTGACAGTTTACTGCTGTCATTACATATGCATGCCAGATTTGCTGGCATGTGTCATTTGTGTAACAAGCAGTGAAGACACTTGTGAAATGTTAGCTACTCATTAAACACAATAATTCTGATCAAAGTTCCCATCTTTTTCCTGTCTTTATGGGTATGTTTGGACTGGCACTACGTTTCTCTCCAGACAAAGACATGGGCTCCGGAGACAGTTTGAAGTTTGCTGTGCTAATTGGTATCTTTGTGGTTTTTAAGGTAGAGCATTTTTGAAATGTAATTGTACTTTTAGACTGAAATTGGTAAAAACTGTCTCTGTGGAATGTATAAATTAACATATGAGTCTTCTTCTACCTTCTTCTTAGGTGCAAGCTGTTCCTGTGCTTAGGGGTTGGTTTTTATTAAAAGTACTGGTCATACTCTATGCACATAAAACATGATTTTTGTTTGTTACTTTGTAGCTTTAACAAAAAATTTCACTTCCAGGTGACAATGCAGATGCAGGTGAACTGAGGGATGACATACCTGAGATCAACAGAGGTATGGTTTATAAGCCTTGCCTACTGTTGGTGTCTGCCTTCTGATTAAATGCTTTCTTGCAGGATGTTCATCTAAACATGTATTTTTTTTAAATTCTAGAGTTAGAGCACCTCTTTGAGGGAGATATTGCTGGTAATGTAAGTATACAGACTATGAAGATGTTATGTTTGACAATAACAGTGTATTTCTCTCAATGTTTTCAATGTGTCTTGTTGCAGCCCAGTAGAAATGCAATCCTTGATCAAACGAGAAGATGGAAGTTTCCCATCCCCTATGTCTTAACTGATTCCTTAGGTACACTTTCCACAATGGAATACCTTTGTACTGAGACATAATTTGATGGAATGTTAAAACATGTACTGACTGGGTAATTAATTTCTGTTACTTTAGATCTGAATGCTAAAGGTGTGATTCTTCAGGCTTTTGAGGAATACCGTTTGAGATCCTGTGTGGACTTCAAGCCCTATGAGGGAGAGAGCAGCTACATTTCCTTCACCAAGCTCTCTGGGTGAGACGCAGTATACCAGGTTGACTCAGTCATGATTATGGCATAACTTTATAGGCCATGCTATTGAGTCATCAAACTCCAGAGATAAAGAACCAAAGATTAGGAAATGCTAATGTGATGAAATGCTATTTAATGAAAGCTCATCATACAGTAACTGTACTGGAGGTTAATTGTTGATTTTTCAATTTCATCTATTCAGATGCTGGTCATTTGTTGGAGATGATAAAGTAGGTCAGAATTTATCCATTGGGGCTGGGTGTGACACCAAGGCCATTGTGGAGCATGAGCTTCTCCACGCTTTGGGTTTTTACCATGAACAGTCTCGTTCAGATAGAGACGACTATGTTAGGATCTGGTGGGACCAGATTGAAGAAGGTGGGTCAAAATGATTTTGTCTTGGCTTCATATAATTTTGACAAATTCTTGTTTACAAAGACATTCTTACCACCCAGTCAGCATCTTGTTCTGGAAACCTCTTTTGCAAATGTTAGCATGCTATCATGCTTATTAGCACTAAACACAAAATTAAGGGATGATGTGAACATGCCAGTATTTGGTCATTAACCAAAGTATGGACGATTCAAAAAACACCAAATATACCATAAAAATCTGCCGTATAAGCAATATGTGAAATCATCATTTAAGTTACCAGAGTCGTGACCTTAATCTTCTCAGTACAGCCTTAGTTTTATTTGCAAAGTAGGTTGCAGGTTGACTTTTGATGGTTGTCTTCCTGGATTAAAGATGTCTTTTAATGTTATGCATAACTAAGGTAGTTTCCAAAACGAAATGCACACACACACACACACACACACACACACACACACACACAAAATTACAAAGTTGGCAGGATCAAAGTTTAGTTAAAAAAAACGTAAATACTAATGAATGAAAGTGAACAATTCAAATAAATGACCATATTTTAAGAAGGCTGTACAGTTTATAGCTTCTACATATACATATACTGTACATATTTTTTAGTACTGTTTAAGGGGTTGATATGCTGTTGTGTGACTGTCCACATGTTAGTGACAATGTTACTCTTCTTCTTACAGGGAAGGAGCATAATTTCAATAAGTATGAGGATGATTTCATCACTGATCTCAACACACCATATGATTATGAGTCTGTTATGCACTACAGGCCATTGTCTTTCAACAAGAATTTGAGCATCCCTACAATCACTACCACCATACAGTACTTTAATGAGATCATTGGCCAGCGGTTTGACTTCAGCGCTGTAGACATCACCAGGCTCAACCGCATGTATGACTGTGGTAAGTGTCTCCTCTCATGCCTAAAGGTTAGATAAAGGCTGCATGCTCATGTCCTGGACAGGAAAAGTCGTTATGAATCTGTTAAGTCAAGTAATGGAATGGTGCAGTGGTGACCTTTATAGCTCTGTGGCTGTGGTGTTTCAAGGTGTGTAGCTGTGGGAGCTGATTTGTTGTCATAAATACAGTTATGTTCTCATCCTAAGGCTACACTAATCAGTATGTTCACATTAACAATGGATCAACGGGGAGCAACTGTGGTTGAAGGGCGACTGTGGTTCAGTGGGTAGAGCAGTCGTCTAGCAACCGGAAGTTCGAATCACGGTATCGGCAGTCCACATGCTGAAGTGTCCTTGGGCAAGACACTGAACCCTCAAGTTGTCCCTGATGGTTAGAGCCACCGGTTGAGTTGGCGCTGCCTTGGTTATGTACCGGAAATTCAAATTCCTTGTGTGTGTAACATGCTTTGCCAAATAAAGGTGATTATCAAATGTGAAAGGTGCTGCTTGTATTAAAAAACCCACAGATAATTATAACCTAACTGTGGTCCTGTCAATTTCACCGGGCTTTTTAGTCTACTTTTAATCACTGTTTTGCTATTCTAGCCTTTAACTCTGCTCTCAGCCACAGCAGCAAACACATTTTGATAAACCCACTGGGCGCTACCCACTCAGCACCAAAGAACAAGCAGACAAAGTTGGAAACCTGCTTGTGAACACAATGAAGTGCTTAGCAGATAAAAAGCCAGAAATTTACCTCAGGAGTTGCAGGACATAAAAACAGAACTAAAAGTAAAGTGAATATCAGACTAACTTTCATCAGGTGGGCAAAAACACAAATGCAAATAAATGCTAATGTTTCTTTGTGGTAACTCAATGTACTGATGTAACTTACTGTAGGTGTTTGAGTAACAATGTAGTCCTCTAATTTTCTGTCTACACTGGGTGTGACAATGCCTCACACTGTGTAGATAGATACTGTAGCAGCTGCTTGTGAGAACCATGTAACTCCACTTTAGCAAATACCTGAACCCTCTTATAACATCCAACACGAAGGGTTGTTAAAATACAAATATTACATACTTGAGGGAAATTGTATATAAAGTCAGATTTGTAAATCATCTTTCAAACCAACAAGGCAAAAATAATCAGGTTTAGTGATTGTGTGTAGAAAATGTTAACAACTGAAGGTATTAATAATTGGAAACTTGATAACTGTCCTGTTGCAGCCAACACGCACACTCTCTTGGACCAGTGCTCGTTTGAGCTGAACAACATCTGTGGAATGATCCAGAGCGAGGAAGACAATGCAGACTGGGTACAGACCTTGGGTGTTCCAGCTGAAACCGATCATACACTAGCAGGGCGCTGCAGAGGTAATGAGCAAATCTTTTTCAGATCACAAACAAAAATGTATCAAACATAAATTTCAATCAATTTCTAAAAGAAAAACTCTTGTAATCAAACAAATTATGACAAATTGTGTCTTGTGATTAATAACAGTAACAGTGATTATTGTATTTAATTTACTCTAAGTGTCCCGGTAAGCCATGCCAATGATAAACTATTGTTGGGTCCTGGCCCTGCAGCATCTACACAAAGATCAATAGACAATTAGATCATTATTAAGCAGCAATGGCATTTTGGTAGCACTTTCATGTCTCCCTATATGTTATTTCCAAGCAATATACAATACAAACATTTGAAAAATGTTATGTAACACATTTTAATTAAGTGTTATTTAGAATATTTGTCAGCAAGTATAATAGACAAACATAAGGTGAGGCTTCTGTACTGTATAAATTGTTAATAAAGGAACATTAGTTAAAACATTTGTTATTATAATATAGTAGCAGTGAAGTATGTCTTCATAGAGGAAGTTATAATAACATTCTATATCTGTATACAACCACATTATAGTGAGTAATAAACTATTTATTAAAGCTTTATATAGTTCTAATATATTCTAGGGAGGACTGTTTAAATATTACCAGGATTTTGATTGCATGTGAGTGTAAAAAATGTACAATGGAACATTAAAAAATTAGACAAATTAAAATGTCTTCAGTGAAAATGGTTCATTAACAAAACATGTCCCAATCGCCACTTCTCTTCTTAGATTCTGGCTACTTCATGAAGTTTGACACATCTTCTGGTGTAGTTGGAAGCAGTGCCTTGCTGGAGTCACGTATTCTCTACCCCCGGAGAGGCGAACAGTGCCTGCACTTCTTCTACAAGATGACTGGACCAGCTGGGGACAAACTGGTGATATGGATCAGGACTGATGATGGGACAGGGACTGTAAACAGTCCTAAGAAAATCCACACCATCACTGGTATTTTCTCATTTATTTGCCAACACTATACATTGTGCATTCCACTGGAATTCTGGAAAGGAGCTTATATTTACTTATAAAATGTTTTCTGATTTGTAGGAATCAGTTTTAAAAAAAATAAAAAGCCTTAAAATATTTTGTCTTTTAATACTGCAGCTAGAGTTATTACATGATTGCCATACTCATAAAAAACACACACTGCAGCATTAAGTAGATTACTAAATCACCTGCTTTTTGTCTCTCAGGTGATGGAGATGATGCCTGGAAAATTGCCCATGTGACACTCAAGGTCACAGACAAGTTCCGTTATTTCTTCCAAGGCATCAGAGGATCAGCTGACTCCTTGGGCGCCATCTTAATCGATGACATCACTCTTACTGAGACCATTTGCCCTAGCGCTGTCTGGCAAATTCACAATTTCACAGGCCTCCTTGACTCAACTTCTCTTGGCAGTTCAGTTAAAAGTAAATGCTTTTACAACTCGGAGGGCTACTCATTCGGTATCAGTATTTACCCAAATGGAAGAGAGGAGGCCTACCCAGGCTATCTTGGCGTAGCCTTGCACCTCTGCAGTGGAGAAAATGATGCAGTGATGCAGTGGCCAGCCCAAAACAGGCAGGCGGTGATTGCTGCCATGGACCAGGACCCTGACATTAAACTCAGGATGTCTTCTACAAGAAGCTTCACCACAAGTAGGCCCCGACCACAGTCATTTAAAAAATGGGACATTTATGAGGAAGATAAAAGCTCTGGTGGTAACCATGGTAATATACTGTATAAGGTCACTTTTTGTGACCAGCCTGTGCCCAAGAGTGTGGTGTCTGAACCCAACCTAGATCCGACAAGCTTATAGTAAATAATGTCCTAACCCAACCTGGGGCTTTGTACACTGTTTTTCCCCTTATCATTAAATGAAGCAGCCTAAAATTTGACCTACATGTCCAAACCTGACCCGAACCCAAACATAATTTCTAAATTTCTGCCGGAACCTAGGCTGAACCCTCGACTACCAACGGGTCCCTTCGAACTTGGTTCGAGTATCCACACTCTAGACCAGGCCACAGTGAATTTTCACTTGACTCTGCAGTACCCCTTTAATGTTTAGTTGTATGAACAACAACTTCACAGTTTTGGTTCAGCTTCACCACTTATATCTGCTCTATCTTTACCAGCTTCAGGAAAAGTCTTTAATAAACTGCATTTTAACTGCCTGGCACCAAACTAGCAGGGGAACATAAAAACAGAGCTAAGAGAGAGTGAATATTGCACTTTAATTCATCAGGTGGTAAGAAATAAAGGTAAAAATACTGTTAATGCTAATATTGTTCCAGGTCTGCTGCACATGTGTAAATGAACAACTGCTAAGATGTTTGCCATAACAAGTTTATACGGTAGATAATATATCAATATTTCCTTTATAGCTTCTTGCCCTGGTCAAAAAATCAATTGATTTAGAAATGCCTTACCATAAACTTTTTAGATTAAAATATCAATGTTTGATATTTCCCAAAACACAAACATTATCACTTTATAAAGTTGATATGGTGAATGGTGAATGTGTTAGCAAACAGTTAAAAAAAAAAAACCCTTAAACCCTCCATAGAGAGTATGCATGTCCATCACTATGAGGGTCCCCTTTTACATCCATCCATCCATTTTCTAAACCGCTTAGTCCCAAACGGGGTCACGGGGGGCTGGAGCCAATCCCAGCCAGCCCTTTTACATACAGTACATATTAGTTATTTGATCTAGTGTTAGGAACACCCTTCTTCTCTGTTTGTTCTAACCAAAACTGTTCGTATAGAATACAGTTCTGCATTATCTCCCACTTTGTTTCAACCAGTATGTAAAATTAAGAAATAACATGTTTCCTTGTGGCTTTAAGTGTACCTGTTGCAGTGAACAATGAGGGAGTGTACTTCTCGAATGTTTTCCCCATCAGACACTTCTGCCTATTGGAACAGACCAACAGCCACATCAGGAGCAACATTGGATACCACCTGCCAGTGCTACCGTGGTCGGGATTTTGGCTGGAGCACATTCATTTCTCACAAGCATCTGCACAGAAGGAGCTTCCTCAAGAACAATGACCTCATCATTACTGCTGATCTTACCGGTGAGAATCAAAAATATCTGATCTGCCAAAGAACATTTGGCATTGACATTTAAACTCTAAACTATAATTACTTTTAGATTTGCTCTTTTCCCTGCTACTCAAAATTTTCTCTCAATTTTCTCTCATATATTCAGATATTGCCATGGTAGCACTGTTTTGTTCACATGTTGTCTTACAGATTTGACCCACCTGATCAAGACTGAGGTACCTGTCAAACCAACCACACAAAGTAATGAGTTTGCAGATGAAAAGCCAATCAATGAGGTGCAAATGAAACCGGAGGTTCTAAAACACAGAGAAGCACGTTCTGCCAACCCCTGTCAACCCAATCCATGTTTTAATGGAGGCGTGTGTGTGGAGAGTGAAGGGAAAGCTTCCTGCAGGTGTGTGTTTATACAGAATGTGTATATGTATTAATAAGTTAATATTTTTAATGAAGACAGTGGAATTCACCAGTGGTTAGAAAATTGAGGATATTTTAGCCTGCTGTAACTTTGAATAGGTCTAATTTTACATTCAAATTTATGGTTTGGCACAGGCTAGATATTGTTAGCTTTAGAGGTGCTAATAAGCAGATTCTTCAACTTTGTATAGAGTCCTTATGCTGAGCTAGATTAATCTTCTTGTCAATTTTCTCATCCAAACTTGGACAAGGAAAACATTAACCAAACTGTCAAACCTTTCCTTAAAAGTCTTGCAAGCCAACATTTCAAGTGAACCAACCAATTTCATCCCCAACAAAAACACAGTCTTTTTGATCTGTTTCTCTGATGCTGCAATTGAGTAGGATTCCCTAGCTCTCCTAACGTACACAGCCGATTTATCTAAGTTGAATACTAGTGCTTGGTATGCACAAATCTCTTCCCACTGCACAAGTTAGTCTTGCCAGGACAGGTGGCACAGCACCGGTGTGCAAAATGAATCAAATGTCTGGGATGCATATTCATGCGAAACCTACAGTTGAAAGCAATTAATTTTCCATTATGAAAACTCTGTGTCTGTCTGCTGCCTTTCAGGTGTGCAACAAGCCAGGCCACTTACTACTCTGGAAAAAGATGTGAGGAGCTGAGCGTGAACAGAAGCATTCTGGGAGCTCTGATTGGTGGCACAGCCGGGACCGTAGTTCTGACACTGACCATTTTAACTGTCATCAGGAGAGCTCAGTGCAAACCCATTTTAAAAGACTAATGTGTCCTCTGCATTTATTCAGAAGCAAAATTGCAGCAAAATTGTGCCAAGGCTAGAGAGAAATATTGGCTAAATAGGGCTCACTTTTAGACACCAAATGCATCTACACAGATTTTACTTTAGACAAGCCTACAAGCCTACTTTACATAAACTTAGACCTTCTCCCAAAATACAAATTAATACAGGACTCACTTTTAAAATTAGTTTTTTTCCTCATGGGATGGTAAAAATAGTAAATTAAGAATAACATTTCAGCCAGCACCAGAAGGAAGAGTAGGACAAAAACCAAAATAAGCCCAAGAACTACAGCAGTTGTAGAGGGACTGTGGAGTCGTCTCCCAAACTAACAACTACAGCACAGCATGAATAGTTTTGTCCCATGTCTGGTTTATTTGCATAAAAGTCATCTTATCTAGTCTGCTAAATTACATTTATTTTCTAAAGGAAAAAAAAATGCAAGTAAATAAAAATCTTTGGATTAAATAATTCAATCGTGCATGGTGTGACAAACAATAAAAGGCATTATATTCCTTATTTTTATTTCACTACATATTCTGAGACACACACTGTGTTTATACACACATAGTATACAAGTTATAGTTCAAATGTCAAACTGTGTACATTTATAGGCTTTCATTTCAAATAAAATAATCAAATTAAACAAGACATCAAAATTAATTTTGTTCCATATATAGTCAGCACTTAATTTCTAAGTGTACAGAATGTACAACATCAAATTAAGTAGTTCAGTCATTTAAAGCATCTCCTTCATCTTACACAGTGTAAGTATTGTTTTTCACTTCATGTTGGAATTTGATCTTCCTTAAACAGTGTCACCACATGACCTGGATTTATAAATTACTCCATATAGCAAAGTTAGAGTTAATGTGTAAAGTACTACTACTACTACTAGTCTTGTCAGATATACTGTATACATATCATAATATTGAATCAATAAATAAGATAAAAATACCAGTGTTCTATTTAATATGTTTAGCTAGCAATTAACCTGGTTTTAGGACAACCATCCACACCACTGTGTCTGTGCAGAAACAATAATCAGTATCAAAACAAATCTTTTTCTGTCTCCACAATCTGAAATGTAGAGATCACAAATGATTTAGAAAATTTATAATCTGGATTTACAAATCTCACAAAAAATATCAGGTGCAAACCTGTTTCATTTCTATTAAAATTGACTGACCAATTTCATATAACCTGCCATAGCCTGTTAAAATGCTGGTTTGCCACTGGACCTTGCTGTGACAAACCACACCACATGCATTATGATTGCAAAAACACAAAACTGAAGTATCATTATGAAATAAACAAAATATTATTACCTTCCTTTACAAGAGGTGTTAAATAGCAAATAGCTAAAAGTGTTAGCGCTCATTTGCTGCAATAAAATGACAAACCATTTTACTAATTAGAAATGCTTCTAATTTTTAAAAATTCATGTGTAGGTCTGTCTGTCAGACAGTCCCATGTGTCTAGACTGAAATATCTCAACAAATATTAAATCAGCTGCCATAAAATTTTGCACAGACATTCTTTGTTTCAAGATGATGACGGTGATCCCCGCACCATCATCAGGTTAAAGGATTCACTTATCCGGTGAAAAATCTCACAATGAATTGATTGGCACTAGTTTTTGTACAGACATGGGTCAGAATATGAATTCTGCTCAATTTGGTGATTGCCTGACATTTTCCTCTAGAAGAAGTTAACTACAATTCCCATGGTGCACAGTGGGAAGTAACATCCAGTCACAGAGTTTAAAGTTTAGGTACCATATGTGCGCCACCTATAGAAGATGGAAGATAAAGATGAGAAAACAGTTGAATTCAGTTCTTGGTCATAAATGTTGGTGAAGTCAGAAACTGCTCTGATTTGTGCCTCTGACTTCTCCTTGGAAACATCAGCTGAAGCTTATAGGTGTTGTAGTACTTATACCTGTCTGCTATGCTAAAATGAGGGACAAGGCATGCTTTTACAGAAGTAAAGTTGAATTAGCTAAAACTAGTGGGCATAACATTTATCTTTAGGTTTGTAAAATCTGTGATTCCTATGTTTCCATTTTACGTACCAATGAAAATGTCATTTAAAGAAAATTTGAAGTGGAAATACAGAATGGGGTAAAACATTTCCAGAACCAGTGGTCCCTCCCACACCTCTACTGGATAGATAACCATGAACTTTAGTACAGACATCTATCCCAAGGATAACTGGTTGTTAATAGCTTATACCTGGTGAACCCATTAGCCTCCACTATACTTTTTGTTTAATGCTAATTTGCAAACATTAGCATGCTAACACACTAAACTAAGTGGTGAACACAGTAAACATTATACCTGCTAAACAGCATGTTAGTACTGTCATTGTGAGCATGTTAACATACTGCTGTTGGCATTTGACATAAAGCGCTGTTTTGCTAGTCAGTGTTGCTCCATACAGATGCTCGTGCATCAACCCAAGCAGAACCAAGTTTACAGGCTAAATGCATCCACAGGTCTGAAATTTAATTGTTACTGAAATGTTTCATCATTCAAAATAAAGCAAATACCTTGTTAATAAGAATATACAGTAAAACTGACCTCAGTCTTCATTTGTCTTTCGTGTATGTGGTTGAAGTCAAATTTTTCATGCTCTCACTTTTTCCTTTTGATTTTGCCTGAGGGTAGAAGTAAACAGATTTATGATGTGCATTCCCATCATTTAATGATGTAATTCAAAATAAAATTATGGGTAAACTCACCATTATGCGCTTAATCAGTTCTTCTCGAACCTGATGATAATAATAAAAAAAAAAGTTCTTTCATAAACTGTGCACATGGCAAATACTAAACTGCAGAATTACTGACAACACTTTTAGGCATTGTTATATTTTTACTGGGCCTTCAGGCATCAAACCCATGTCTCCTGTGGCATAGGCAAGAATTCCAACATTAAGATATTGACATACTGTCATAGTCTTAGTGTATTATTCATTTGAATTGTTTCAAAGTATTTCCCTGTTTGTGACCACTAGAAATTTGAAAGGTTTTTAGTAAATCAACAAACATAAAAACAGTTAGACAGTATGATAGATATTAACATACCTTCTGCTCTGCAAAACACCCTGTTATCAAAATGAAAAGGCCCTGCAAGAGGAGAAATATGTGCAGCAGGTTTTAGACTTCATTATGTAGATTGAATATGAATTTCATTTTTTCAAATGGGTGCACCTGCCATAGCTGAGGGTCTGAATAATTTTATAAATCAGAGATTTAATTCCCTGATTTTTAATACATTTGCAAAGACTAATACTTTCCAAAGTGACTGTATATACAACTCATCTTTTTTGGTTACATAAGTGTTTGTTGTCTAACCATACCCTTCCAATCACACATCGGAACTGAAAATATTTTAGTGCTTACAGAAATGTAAAATATCAACCAGGGATACACAGAGCCAATATGCTGATGTTGACAGTAATGGATGCAGCAGACCAAGATATACAGTATTGTCCTATCCCATGCATTCTTCTTTTTTTGTTCAGAACCTGGTGCTTACATTATCCACACTACAACCCTGAAGCCTGACTTATGGCTCTGCCACTCCAGCAGCTCTTTCCTCTTTTGTGTTTCTGTTCATGCTTTCTGAAGGCCTTTGTGGTGCTGTGCTGCTAGGAGTACAAATTTTTATTGCATATGCATTATGTTTTATACTTTTTCGTGAGCTCCCGAGTTGGGGGACTCTGGGAGTAGTGGCCCCACTCCACCTTCCTTACGGGGAGAAGCTGGAGATTCCCTTGGAGATACGATGTAAAATGCGGGGCCGCAGAGCTGGTGTAAAGTGCCGGGACAGCAAATGGAGGTATAAGCCATGTCTACCATCTATCATTATGGGAAATGTCCAGTCCAACAAGGTGGACGAGGTAATGGCGCTAACGAGACTGCAACAGGAGTACAGAGAGTGAGGCCTTTTGTGCTTCACCGAGACCTGGCTGAATAATGACATTTCTGACTCTGTGGTCTCCCTGTGGCTGCCTGTGAGCACGCACAGAGCGCCGTAGGCTGCAGACAATCCTCATCTCTGGGGATTTTAACTATGCCTCCCTCCCCTTCTCTGCCACCCTCCAAAAACTTCACCCAGTATGTTAATTGCTGCACAAAAGACAATAAAACTCTGGACCTACTGTATGCAAATGCCAGGAAGGCATGCACCTCAAATGCCAGGAAGGCATGCAATACTCAAATCCTGGGGTAAAATGCATGGTTAATATGCACATATATAAAATCTTGTTTTTGATTTCTCTCAAATACTTTATATAGTTGTGTTTTAGGTATTTTTGAGTAGTTTTTCAGAGATCCTCATGGCTGAAATACTGGTATTTTCCTCATTGCAGGATTAATTATAGGAGTAATATTCTTGTCTTTGATTTCTTGATCTCTTGAATACTATATTTTGTCTTGTATTTTGATTTGTTCTCAGGGATTAATTGTGGGAGGATCATTCTTGTTCCTGATCGTCTCTCAAATACTATATTCTATTTGGTTTTAGGTACTTTGGAATCTGTTTCTCATGTGTGTGGTGTTTGCTCTTATGATGCTTTGTTGCTGCTCTCTATTGCTTCTGGAACACAGGAATTTCCCCATTGTAGGATCAATAAACTCCTACCTACCTACATTTGAATCTATTCAGACCCTCTGCTGTAGGATATGTAACGATGGTGACTGACACTGAGTGGGTCATGTTGGAGTTAAAACTAACAGACAGTGACGTGCGGTCAGGGGAGACAGGTGAGGCAGAGCCTCCCCTGTCAATCTTGAAAAGAAAAAAAAAGTTAACCATAAAATATAATAAATGTTAATATTTGTCGGCTGGTGTGTTGTAGGCCCTTTTGCCGTTCGAATCCGATGTTGAAGGAATTTTTTTCAATAAAGAATAGCAGAATTTTCCGTATGTCCCGTTCAAATACATGGAGGAGATGCACGATGAGGCAGCACTTTGCCTCTCGGTGGATCGTGTAATCCTCACAAACTGTATACGATGCAAATAGTGTGGCTGTCCCTCTATATATCACAAATAAAATGCTTTCAAACACTCTGATTATATGCTCTGCCTTGCCATAATCTGGATAATGTATAAAATGTAGTTCTGTAACGTGTTTAGGCTGCAGATTAACCATAAAACCCAATAAAAAAGTTACTCGCTCGGTGAGGCAAACAGTACGCCTGCCTCAAGGCAGAGGGCGCTAGTGAGCCCACAGATTCTTGCGCTACCTACAATCTTCTTCGTGCTTGTTTATATTTCCTTTACAATCCGCCTTATCAAAATGGAAGATTACATTTCCAAGCTGAGAATATTTGCAAATCTGGACTTTCAATCAAAACATTTTTGACAGTCTGGACATTTTTGTCCAGAAGGATCTTCTTTATTGAAAACATTTGTTTTAATATTGGATTCGAACGGTAAAAGGGTTTGTAATACATACCAGCTGACAAATGGATTTCGTGTACAAGTAAAGGTAAGACCATAAACTTTTATTATTTCTAGTTAGAAATAAGCTCAACTGGAATAAATTTTAACCTCAAATTAAATATGAGTCACGTTTGTGTGAAGAATGCTGATATGAGATATAAAACATAACGCATTGTCTGTTAACAGACAGTTTGTTAACGGTTCATTTGTATTTGTAAATCTAACTGTAAAAGAGTCAGTGCCTCACCAGCTGTCAACCTCACCGCATGTCATTGCTAACAGATGTCCGGGCCCAAAACTGTGAGGCAGCAGCGCTAACCACTGTGCCACCATGCCGCCTCATGTTATAGGTCCCTAATGCCAGTGTTATGTTTGGTGTGGAGTTGCTTTCAAATTACCTGGAAGGAATTGAGGATGGTAAAACTGAAGACAACAAATGCATACATGGGATTGTCTTTCTGCATCATGAGCTGAAAGAAACCAATGACCCATGTCACTCCAAACACAGGTGTTAGAAAGACCACCACTTTAAGGATGCTTTTCGCTGTCTCTTTGTCATCTGCCTTGCTGCTGTCTGGGACCGAGGTCTTCACCAGCGTAACGATGACAACCGCCATGGAAAAGAGATTTGTCAAAATAATTGTTCCCACAGGAAGAAGGAAAGCATGAATGGAACCCTCCAAGAGTCTTACATATATTAGCCAGCATGTTTTCATGTCATAGTAGAGATTGTAGGTGTATTTGTAATACACATAGCTGGATCCCACTATTAAGATTGGGCAAACATAGCCTACAATGCTGGAGAAGAACATGAAGACTCTTTTCCTCAGTGGGCTGAAGACAAAGATGAGCTGGTGGACAAGCATGACACTCAAGCACAGCATCCAGCAGAACATGGCCAGGTAAAACAGGTGTTTGCATATGGTCAGAGTTAAGCACCAGCTGTCAGTAAGAATGTTAGGAGAGCTGGAGGCCAAAAAACTACAGTCAGCAAGCAGGCGGAACACAGCAATGTTCACCATGGCTGTGTGACGGAAATGTGCAAGGTTGCTCTTGATCACAGCTGACCACACTATATACTCAATGGTGAGGAAGATCAGCAAGGAGCAGATGGACACACCCAGGCCCACACTGGTAATTTTCTCTAGGATTGGTTCAAACATATTAAGGCTTTGATCACCTTTAGCCATGAGGACAGAGAATGAAGTCAGGTGGTTGCACTCACACATTGAGCTGTAATTATCACTAGTTGTGACAATGCATCCGGCATCTGACCAGTCCATCATTGTGTGGTCCCAGAAGACACAGCGAGGTATAGTGTAGTTTAACTTCTCCTTGGGGAAGTCCATTCTAATTCTTAACGATGAATCCTTGTTGTCCTGCAGTGTGGCCGATACTAAGTGGCTGGTAGCCTCAGTGTATTCGAAGCTGTTTCTTAATTTGTTCATTAAATTTTTCACACCAAGGATTTTCATTATTCCGTTGGACATGTTCATATTCACGTTAATGCCAAACACTGTCACATCACAGTCATTACTTGAGCAGAAAGTGAGCTGTAAATTACTGCAGTTGATTCCACTGCTCTGGTTGACGTGGATATTCAACACCAGATCCTCTACAGACTGAAGGTAAGTTGCTGACATGTTGTAAAGAGTAGAAGTGTTGACAGCATTCCAGCTGTTGTTCAACAAATTGCTTGCTGCATCAATAAAATTCTGAAACAGATAAGAAGAAGCAAATAAACAAAAAAGTCAGTGCTAAGGCACAGTTTTCTTCTCAGGAACTATCCATTACAATCTTACTGTATATTAAACCAAAAAAAAAACAATGGCGAAAATATTCAGTCATGTTTTGGAAGAGTTTCAAATGCCCAAGTAGTAAAAAACAAAACAAAAAGCAAGGACAACCAACAAACAGAGCCAGCCAAGAACCAGGACACATCCTTCCACAGGGGTCCAACTGTGGAACTCACCTCTTCATTTGTGAATGGCCATTTAAAATAAACTGCTTATTTTGACAAAAATAAAGCAAAACAAAATCTCAGCACAAGGTCGAACAAAGTCTTTGTATCTGGTGCTTTCAACACATTTTTTTTGGTCTTGTCACAAAGATGGTTTACTGCAAGGGAGGAGAATTGGCATTACAATTTATTTATTTCCAAAATAGATGGTCTTGTCACAAAGATGGCTTACTGCAAGGGAGGAGAATTAGCATTACAATTTATTTATTTCCAGAATAGATTTAGTGGGACGTTGGAATGCAGTTGAGGACTAAAATGATTAGTGGGATGTTGGAATGCAGTTGAGGACTAAAATGATTATAGGACAAATTAGCTGTTAGAATGTTAGCTTTGTGTTAGCAAGCTATTCTCATTCTTCCTGCTTTCCAGAAGCATCACATTGGAACTGCCAATGTAGGAGTGTCCACCCAGACTGTGTTGGGATTTTCATCATGCACTCTTTGTAATAGCTAACTGAGAGTGCCCCTTGGCCAAGATGTTATGTTCTGCATTGGTGGATCCTGACAATTGATCTTTTGTGTTGTAAGCAGTGGTTTAATCTAAATTAAAATACTGGCCTGTTCTCAAAGTTCCCATCACCTGATTCTCAAAGTGGTTGCATAGCATCCTGTGTTGTTTTAAACTGAGGCCAAGGGTGTTAAGTTTTGTTTTTCCCTTTTTTGTGACCGTACCTTTTTAGTTATGCTTCTAAAGTCTCCAAACATTGCTCAAACACAGTTACTGAACTGAACTGACCAAAAGAACAAAATTAATATATGACTGAAATTTCATACTGAAATCACATGGTAACAGCTAAACTCCATGACACCTGAGCAACTCCACATATATTATAGTAAAAGCTATAATAATCAACAGGGTCTTACAGGAAGGACTGTGTCTTGCAAGGAAATATACTTTGTTGCATCGGCCATCGTATTGAGAATGTTGATGGAAGCAGAAATGTCGTCTATCCTATAACTGGAAGCTGATACAGTGAAGTTGTTAAGTCCTTCAAATATTTGAATGGCTGTGTCCTGGGATGCTCCTAGTCCTTTTATGAAGTTCTAGAAACAAAAAACACAGTATCTTCATGTAAATGTATATAAAAGCACACAAATTACATCACCACACAAAATCCTGCTGGGGTTGTGACCTTGGAATTTTAAGGTTCTACCTTGGATTTGTTATTGAGAATCAAGCTGATATACAATGCATTCCTTTTGTATTGATCAAAATAAGTATTCTAAAGGCACTCTAAGGCACTGTAAATCATCAATTTCATTCAAAGAAGAAGTGCATGTTCCCTTGTGGTCTTAAAAATGTGAGTTAACTTAGGTTGGATAGTGTCACTTTATGAGTTTTGAAAATGTAAAACAAATTAACCAAGCTTGAGAAAACAAAGTATTTGAGCACAGACAATATTTTAGCTGCATCCAGGGGGGCTCATTCGAGGGGGAAGTGTACTTGCTTTACAGTCCTGGCCTAATGATCCAAATGACTGAATAAATTTATACATTTACTAGGTACGTCCTTTAAATTTAAACACATCTGGTTACATTAAAGACAACAACAATGAGTTGTGTACTATGGCATGTTACCTTATTTGCTATTCTTGGGTCTCTTTACTGCTCCCAAATGTACTTATCCTTTCTTTGTCTGGACAATTTGAGCCACTGCCTAGAGAATCTGAGCTCTATTGTCATCACCGCATCTACTGCAGTAAGCAAGTAATAATTGTAATAAACAGTTAGCCAGCTGGACACCTTAGTTGATTATAATAATACAGAAACCTCTAACAAACAATAGCATGAGCTTTGCAATTAACATTTGCAAGCTAGCTAGCTGTCTAGTATGGCAGCTGCTGGAAAATCTGCTTTTCACATAATTCAAAATTAAAACATTATTTGTGATGGTGTGAGCTAATTAAGTCTCAGTCACGGAACACAGAGGGGACCTTGTAAAGAGGCACAACATGACTGGTCCTTGTGTGTACATTCTGGTACGTTCTGAGCAGCGTGATTTGTACTTTGAACTTTGTAGAAGTCAAAAGGCTTAGTAGAGCATTTCCTATTTTCATATTTCAGGGCCATAACTGTATAAAAGTCTAAATAAACCCACTCAAAATGTTAATAACTCAGAATGTTGAAATATAATTAACTTGTTTTTGACAAAAATCTCAGATGGAACCTTAGAATTCTAAGGTCATACAGCCTCATTGACTGTGAGGCCACACTCACATTTGCTGCATTTGAAATGTTATTTAACTCTTGGCTGACACAATAGTAGAACACCCCCTGCCAGGTAGTGCCGACACAAGTGCGTGACTTATAGCCAGTGGTGCCCTTTGGACATGTCTGATTAATCACTGTGCTTCCATCTGGGGTGCTTGGCCAAAAGTCTCCATCTATCACATCCTCTGGGCAAGATGCTGTACCCACTTGAAGAAAAATGCAGGGATTCATTAGTTAATGCTAGAGTTGACAACCCAAAAAGATGTAAATCCAAACAAAGCAGTTTTAATGTAGAATAAGTGACATTAAGGCAGGTTAAATTCAATTAAAAGAATATACAAAAGAATCAGGTAGCCTACCATAAATTACCGGGATGTCCACTCGTGCACTTTTTTGTTGTCCCATTGAGTTTGCAAAAGTGATATTAACATACTGTGCTTCAGAACTAGGCATGCAACTGAGAGGAGCCTTGAAATGATAGACCAGGTTGTTTTGAACAGCTGTAATGAAAAAAGGACATTAGTTTCAGGGGGTAGGTTTGTGCTTAGAGATATTACATGCATGTTGTTGGTAAAACAGTAACTTTAAATTTGTGTTGATTTAAAGGAGTATGCTTTTTCTTTTGTTGCAGCTAAGAGAAGGAAAGAAAGATGACAGAGAAATTTGAGAGATCCTTTAAGTTTGTCTTACTTGTGTTATATAAGTCATTCTTTCGGACACCCCTGTAGCTCCACCAAACTGTATAAGTTTCTTTGCTTTGTGCAATGGTGGTAGTGACATCAATGTAAACTTCACCAGTTTTCTGTGAACAGGTCCCAGTGAGAGGATTGATGGTTATGGTGATCACATCAGGCAGGAGTGCTACATTCAGTGCTGCCTTGGCTGTGTGCCTGACAGGCCCTCTAGTGAATCCACACTCATATATTCCTGCAGGGAACATGTGGGTAAATTACATGCTACTGCTGAATGGGCTTAATGTGACTAGTTCTGTAACAGATCACCCAACACACGTCAACAGTAGATTTGCCTTGGAATTAAACACAAAGGCAAACTGAAATTTGAATTGAACACATATGGATATAGACCCTTGCTGTTAAAAGGTCAGATCTTCATCTAAATTACAATAATGAACACAATCTATTTTAACTTATAACACACTAATTATTGTGTTATCTGTGCATATTCAAACATCCATGGAAGTACATGAACACCTTGGCTAATGACATCAACAAACGCTAACTGGAGTCTGGAGTCCAGTCAATGAAACCAGATAGGAGGTGTGGGTTACAGCTACTTTGATTTATAAAAAAAAAAAAAAAAAAAAAAAAAAACACTCAAACATTTTGAGTTTGTTATTTACAAGAAGCAACATCTGGAAAGTTTAGAGGGCAGGTATTTATCAGTCCAAAGTTAAACAAGCTGTGATGGAGGATTCTATACACAGAACGCCACATGCTCAGTGAAGTAAAAGAAAACTAGACAAACAACCAAAGGCTTATAGGAAGTATTGATGGTGGTTAGCACTAGTGATTACTGAGAAGTAATCTGAGGACCACTGTTGTTGTGTGGCTAGACAGAATGGGTACCATTTTAATCCTGAAAGTCACCTTGGCCTTTCAAAATTTTATATGCTTGTATGAATTAGATTATTCACAAACTGTGAATAATACATGAAATGTGTTTAAAAAACAAAACAAAATAATGATTCTTACAGTGAAACCACATAATGAAATGCATAGTCAGGGATGACCTGCAATGCCTTTGCAGACTACCACAGACCACTGTTTGAAACCCCCTGTTATGAGTCTACAACAAAAAAATAATTGAGCAAGCATGGTGTCCATGGCAGTGTGCCATAGAGGAAGCTGCTTCTCTCCAAAAAAAATCTGTGCTTGAAGTTTTCCATCAGTTCAACTTTTATTTAAGAAGCGCCTGCTGGTGTGAAGCCTCTGTACTTGCCTTCCCAGGAGCCTGTCACCTCCTGGAGTGTAACTGCAGCACAAGATTTGTAAACCAGTGTGGCACAGTTGGAGTCCAGTTGGACCACAGTGCCGTTGTTGAGCGAATAGCGTTGGGTCTGCTTGGTCAAGTTCCAGCCAGCGCTGTCTGTTGCCTCCTCAAAAGTGCATATTAGTTTAGGGATAGAGAGGTAGCACACTGTAGTATTTGGGGCTTCTATGGTGATAAGTCCTGTGTGAAGAAGGTGACATGAATGCATTTCAGTATAATAATATAACAAGGCTATGGCCAGGTACAGAATTCACAAGTCCAAAATTCTAATGGCCTCTTAGTTTGTGAGTCCCTACATTCATTTATCTGTTTAAGATTCCGGTCCATAGCTTGACGCCTTGGCTATTTCTGGCCAGATCGCCATGATGCATCATCCTATGCCCCAGTGGATGGCTAGTAACAA